CGAGAAATAATCTATAAATACATCTGAACGAGCCGATAATCACTTCAAGTAGTTGCTTAAGCGTCAAGTGCATCAAGTGTACGTCGTGTCGGTGGCAGATGATCAATGGCACTTCTACCAAGTTCCTCCTAGAAAATTACCCTGTAAGGAAAATAGAAAACTTAAAATTATGGTTTAATGTCGTACAACACTTACACTCCAAAACTAATAAAATGTTATATGTAAACAAATTCTGAAATAATACAAACACTATTTACTGAGAACACAGAGTTGATAATATTCCTGAACATTTTTTATTAATTCCAGTTTATCTACATTGCATGTTGCAGTGAACAGTAGCGGAGATTCTGCTACCCCTCTTAACACAATGCATCTCATAAACAGTTTTGTTGTAAAAGGACACAAGTGTCAAATGATTGCTGGGCAGTTATCTTATATACACTCAATAATTTTTGCATTTAAAAACACCCTACGTTCGAACTTAAAAAGCTCTTTTACTTCGCTTCGTTTTAAAACCCAAGAAAAATTGATTGCTTTTGATAGATCAATTACAACTTTCATAAAGAATAGTTCAAGAACAACTATATTCCAAAAACACAATGTAGTTAGGTTTTATTCGGCCGTAATGACAAGTAAAATGTCAGTATAACGTTCAGTCTATTAATTCGACATCGAAAAATAGCGTTTATGCTATAAAATCTGTTACCGTGAGCATGTCAGAACACACCCAGGGCTAACTACCCTTCATTTAAAGGAAAAATTACAAAATTTGCTTTAGAAGAAAGCGAAAATTTCTTTCTAAAAGAAAACCATTAGTTTTCTAAATATACAGATGCTTTCTTTGAAATTATGGTTTACGAAGATTATTGTAAATTCTCCAGTACAATTTTCCTTTTGTTGTACAACTGTTTACAGTACCAGTACCCATGCAGGAGTGGATTTACGCATAGACACAGCAGGCACATGCCTATGGCGGCAAAATAGGCGGCAAAAATTGTGGACCAACTTTTTGTCAAAAGAGCTTCATGTTTGTCGCTTGTTATTTTTCATTCCTTGTTTGTTTTCTATGATTTTTTGAAAAAATGAATAAATACGCAAAAATTATTTTTTATTTGACTTATAAAACCTTCTGCTATAAGACGTGCGATTTTTCAAAATTATATATATGATATTTAAATTCATGAAATTTTGATATGTTTGAAGGCGTTTTACTTCGTTCATAGTTTCTAGTGTTAAATGTAGTCATATAAGTAATTTTAAGAATTAAAGGTAGATCAACGGTAGAATAATGAATATGCATAACAACAAGAAAACAAAAACATGAATATTTTACTTATGTACATCAAAATAGATAATTTAAAAATAATATATTTCCCTTGGAAAAAATTAAAAATGCATAAACTATTAATTAAATTGTATTTAATTTTAGTCGTAGATAAGTGTGTCCAATTTTATAACATAAATTATACTTGTTATAGTTTCGAAAATTATATTTGTTGTACTTTCGAACGTACGTTATACATAGTCTAACTTTTTTCCCAAGATTATCCATAAAAAATAACTAAAATAAGTAGGCAATTTTTGCGTGTCTACACGCGCCAAAATTGTTAATCCACTGTACTCATGCGATTTTGCCGACATTTTAATAGAATAAAATATAGATATTATTAAATTACAACAGCTTTACAATGCAGTACACACTTTGGGATTCACTCATTATTTTATATTCTGAATTCTTTTCGACTACATACTCTGATTTTCTCAACGGGTTTGTTATTTTCAAGTGACTATGGAGGTAAAGCTATTCACTATTTGTTTTTTTTTTGTTTTTTCAGAAACGAACACAAACGATTGGAAGCGTATCCTGGAGGTCAACATCCTTGGCCTGAGCATCTGCACGCGAGAAGCCATTCAACAGATGAAGGCGCGAGGAGTGGACGACGGGCACATCGTCCACATGTGCAGGTTCTCGGCAGTTGCTTTTTAAACTCATATCGTATATATAATATAATACGGAGTTGCTCTACAGCTGTCGCCGTTTCTCCGCTCTCAGTCTCCATGCCTCTCTATTTACGAGAGATTATTTTGCCTTTCTCTTGCAGTTAGAGCCTCTCGCACTCCCTGCCTCCATGCAAATCTGGGTGTTCTTCTCCTCTCTCTTTTGGTCGACATCCATTTTAAGAGTCATCTTTAATCTGTGATGCGCATAACATGTAATAACTGTACCAAACGATTTGTTTTTTCTATATTTTGTCAAGGATAGTTTTCGTTATATCCATTTTCTTCCTTATGTCATCGTTCCCGATTCTTCACGTCTTCTGTAACAGCAACATCTACGCTAGTAGTCCGTTTCAAAGGCTAGCAGCTTCCTTCTTGTTCTTTTATGAACGTCCAAAATTTTTGAACTGAATGTTGTAACACTTCTATCTAGTAAAGACGTCTTTTAGTAGTGTTAGTGATGGTTTTGTTCCATAAGAGAGAGTTAATACTTCGTGTCACAACGCAAAGAATCATATTTAACGTACATATTTCAAAAAGGGAAGTGGAAGTCAATCAAGTGGATCTCAGAGTAGTTTTTCCCACAAATCATTGTTTAGGTAAGAAGTTTGTTTCGTCTTTTAGGAATTTTATTATTAGAGCCTTTCTGAACTCTTCATGCTAGTTTCGTTTTCCGATGCCTATTTAGTGTTTACAAAAATAATTCGAAATCGTTGCCTTGCCTAATAGTACTTTCGTGTTAACCCCCGAGCTAGACCTGCTTATAAACACATTAAAGTCTTTCGTATTTGTCAAATTAAAAAAATCTCTTGTGTATTCGAAAAAACATTCCGAAAATTGAACGAGCTCTTAAAAAAGGAAGGACGTGATCATATGTAACCCCAGGGAAAATACCGCGAAAACATACAAAATATATGTGCCTATTCCCATTCTCGCCCAATACTTGCATACACTTTCTCTTACATGCACTGCACAACCACACACGCCAGGAGGCAGGTCGGAAGCTTAGAGATTGTCTCGGCTGTGGTGGTGACCCGCTGGTGGGTGATACCTGGTCGGGGAAACAGCCGCAAGCTGACGAATGGCCGGCGCCAGGTCTGGGGTCCAGTGGGGAAGTTCTCTACCACCTTCCGCGATAAAACATGCACTACACATACGGAACTGTGACCTTAACAGCTGACGTCCTCGGAAACTAATGAATGAATCAATCAATCAGCTGACTCGCGCGTGTCCTCCACCGCTGGCACTCGGAATCTGTCTCCACCAGTTGTGGAATTTGTGGGGGGTCAGTGCGAGCTGTTCCACCTGACCCTCATTCCAACATTACTCCGTGATTATCACAACTACAGAATATCACAAAACAGTATATACATACCTCTATAGAATATCTTCTACAAAAAAACAACAAAACAATCCTCCTAGGCGCAATACTATGAATCAATAAATCCAATTTTCTGTGCAGCATCTCCGGCCATTGGATGCCGCGCTCCCCCGAGTGGTCGATGTACTACGCGTCCAAACACGCTGTCAGAGTCCTCACCGAGGGCCTCAGGAAAGAGCTGGTCGCTGCTAAATCTAAAATTAGAGTGTCCGTAAGTAACCATTGGCGGCGATACTTTTATTTATAGTCAATTTTTTTCTTGAACTACTAAAAATATAAAATAATGGTTTTTTAAATTTGGGTCAATTTATTTCATGTATGTGTGTTCAATCTACTATAACTAAATTTTCAAGTATAATTGATTTTTAGATATTACTCCTTATTGTAGTGTTCTTGCCAACATTGTTATATGAATCATATATGTTAATAGATAATAGTGACTTTCAGTTCAAACTTTGATGAATTATGTGCAAGCAGGAAAAATAGAGGGGAGGAAAAGCAGTATTGAATCACACTAACACGATTAGTGGTTCCTCCTCTTTATTTATAATAGCTTCACTTGACGAAGCACAGAAAAATATAGGTACACTATGTGATCAAATGTATCCGGACATGTCCAAATTGGTGTTATGGTGTGGTCGGATTTTTCGTGGAGGGGGCATGCACCCCTTGTTGTTTTGTGTGGCACTATCACGGCGCAGGCCTACGTTGACGTTTTAAATACTTTCTTGCTTCCCACTGTTGAAGAGCAATTCGGGGATGGCGATTGCATCTTTCAGCACGATCGAGCACCTGTTCATACTGCACGGCCTGTGGTGGAGTGGTTACACGACAGTAACATCCTTGTAATAGACTGGCCTGCACAGAGTCCTGACGTGCATAGTATCGAACACCTGTTCCATAGTATCGAACACCTGTTCCATAGTATCGAACACCTGTTCCATAGTTTTGGAACGCCGACTTCGTGCCAGGCCTCGCCGACCTACATCGATTCCTCTTCTCATGGCAGCGCTAAGTGAAGAAAGGGCTTCAATTCCCTAAGAAATTTTCCAAGACCTAATTGAAAGCATGCCTGTGAGAGTGGAAGCTGTCATCAAGGCTAAGAGTGAGTCAACACCCTATTGAATACAACATTACCGATGGAGGGATGACTTACCACGAAATGGTAAGTCATTTCCAGCCACGTGTCAGAATACTTTTGATCACATAGTGTATCAACATTATATACTTTGCTGCCCGAGAGACACTGCTGCGTTCTAACCACAGGTAGCAACGTTTCGGACTCCATTCTGCGTCCTTCCTCAGGGCTAAATACTGATTGCACCCGCGGAAGCCGACGCTCTCAGGCATCGATAGGCACGTTTTGGCATTCATGCATAATGTTGTTTCAGCAAATCTGTCCCGGACTCGTTCGAACAGACTTTTTTGATTCGTTTCTTGAGAATCAGGATGAAGTGTGGACCCAAAACCAACTCTATACAGAGGACATTGCTGATGCAGTTTTGTATGTTCTCAGTGTTCCCCCTCATGTGCAGGTAAAACGTCGCGTAATCATTATTGGTTGAATAAAACATTGAAATAAGTTTTTAAAATTTATACTTTTACATTACTTTTTTTTCAGATCCATGATATTATTGTGAAACCAGTGGGAGAAGAATTTTGATTAAAAAAAATGTTTAGACCAGTGTGAGTTGACGTAGTTCCTGTGTAATCTAATGTCAAAGACTGATAAATGTAATCTAATGAATTTATTTCAAAATTAATTTTTAACATGTATAATATTCTAGAAATATGTTACATAATACAGTTATCACAATATTGTTTACTGAGCAATTGATATTGGCTACTCAATTTTGGTAACATTCTTTATATCATTGGTATTAAAAATTATTCTAAAATTAATCTGATTTTTTTAAAATATGGAAAATGTATTTTTTTGTTTTTCCACGCACAATTATATACTACAGGGTGCGCCAGAAAAACTTACTTATTTGAAAAAATTCCCGCGCGGTGAGTATATAATGTGCCGTTAGAAAAGAAGCTCTCGACTGCGAAGGCCCGCTGCTCTCTAGTCCACAGCATGATGGCAACTGACTGGAAAGAGAAAAAAACTTGGGAACTTCCCAGTCCAGATACGCCCCCTCTCGCCCCTCTAACCACCCAACTCACCGCGCGGGAATTTTTTCAAATAAGTAAGTTTCTCTGGCGCACCCTGTAAAAAACCAATATCGAATGGTAATATATATTTATATGTTCACTTACTACAATACACATTCCTCATATTTTCCATTTACAATTACAGTCCTATATGCATTTACTGTCACAAAGTTTGCTTCATATCTTTTTTACGGAAAATGTGTATGACTATAATATGTTTATGAATTTTAACCCGTCGTTAGGTGCAAAAGGTCTATCAGACATATTGCGTTTTAAGAGCTCATTAGGGAGTGCCTTAGCGGGAAGTAATTGACTGCACTCTTGATTTTCTGCGCATGCGCAGATGCACGAAAGTTACGCGAAACTTAAACTGCGCATAAGTGGAAGTGCATCGGTAGTGCTCTCGATTGCTTGGAGGGTGTTACGTGCTTTAACGTTTAAGGGTGAACAGCTCAAGTTTCGCATCACATTAGCACATCTGCGCATGAGCAGAAGATCGATAGTGATGTCCGCTATGGCGTGCACAAACTCCCTATTATCTGAGATGAAGATGTAAGTTAACGTAATATGGTGACATCCCTTATTGGACGAATTGGCGCCCCGTGGCGAGATAAATTAGAGGGTCATATGTCACATATTCTCTCTTTCATTTGGCGTGTGACGCGTGTGCCCAGAACGAATAATAGGGAGTTTGTGCCACCACGAAGGTTAAAGCACTATAAATCTTCCGCGCACGCGCAGTTTAAGTTTTGCCCTACTTTAATGCAACTGCGCATGCGCAGAAGGACGATAGTGCTGACGCTATGGCGTAAACCAACTCCTTAATGACGTCACGTGCAGTTCGCGGAAAGACCGTTGTGTTGTGTACTCTTCTTAGCTTGCATGCGTGCTTCCTGTGTTTGTAAGCTATTATAATATTTAGATATGGACCATAAAGTAGGCAAATAGGATTTAGAACAATAAAATTATAACATTGTTAATGACACTTTTTCACAGATATGCAAACATGATTAGTATACCGCGATGGACGTTTTCTCTTATTTTCAAAACATGGTTGCAATAAATGGAAGAGTAACATATTTAGGTAATGGCTAACAATACATCTATGAGAGTACTAACATAAAGAACTGAGTTTGTTACAAAGTACAACTATTACCAAAAAATGCTGACTGAATATCGACAATCCGAAAATCAAAGTAAAATTCATTTCGGATCACAAAGTTTAGAAACAGACTTAGAAAGAAACAAGAAAATTAAGTGACGCACACTTTACTAAAAATGTGATTCATTCCTACGTTTACGCAAATATGAAAAAAACATATTTGTAAGTTGCTTTAATGTAAATAAAACTGTTATTAACAAAGAAGAAGGTTAGAAATATGTGTCTTGTTTAGTATTGATTTTACGTAGTATTCTGCATTCTTGTTCTAAATCAATATGTAAAATGATTCGTCTTTAAAATATACAGTACACGCAGATATTCATTACTCATCAAGTACTCCCCAAACATTTCTTCAGACATTGTAAATAATAATTTTCCTAGAATAGAAGCACAAAATGTTCTAAAAAACAAAAAAATGTAATGCATTGATCAACGAGTCTAACAGAGTTCCGAAAACTGCGCGCCTAACGAAGGGATAAACTCAAAATAAATAAGTTAGAAGAAAATAGCAAGTTGGATTGGCACTTACGAAGTCTAATTGAAGAAGCGGATTGTATTAATAATTAATGCAGATGATGATAATAATAATAATAATAATAATAATAATAATAATAATAATATATTAACTGCTTTAGGAAAGATCCCGGTGGCAGCTCTTCATAAGTACATCAAGTAATACATTTAAATTTCATGCAAGTTCTACGTTAAATGAAATACATTATAAACCATTTTTTACAAATTATTACTAATACTAAATGAATACAAAATTTGAATGCTTTAGTCTAACATCTATACAATTATTAGTATTTTTAACTTATGATTTTTAATTTATTTTTGACTTTTCCCACACTCTGAGGTAAAGTGTCTAATAGTACTTCGTTCCAGTTTTTTATTGTCTGGTTAACGAAAGAAAATTTTCCAATGTCTGTTTTTACCTTCTCCCCATGATTTTGTAACTGTAGTCCAGACGACTATTGTATGATGATTATAAGAGTCGCTTCTAAATATCCTTCCAAGCTGATTCGTTTTTGTAAGCTCTGAAGAGAGCACAGAGTCTAGCTGTTTCCCGACGTTTCTGCAAGAATTTCCACATGGGACTATTTGAATTTATTTTCCCTCGTAATACAAATTTTTCCGCAACTTTTTGAATTTTATTTAAAGTATGTACTTGTCCTTCACGGTAAGGATCTCAACATAAACTACAATAAAGTGAATGGGAATATAAGGTGAATGCACTGACTTATCGTCTGCCCTTGGTTTCAGCGTTGAACTCCATCGGTGTTAGTGTTGCGATGTATTTTCAGACTTGCCAGTCACGCCTATCGAGTTATCGACGCAGATAAGAACGTTCACTTCACTACTATATTTTTCGAGACTGGAGTGTTGTGTTGCATAATTGGTATGCTGTAAACAAACGAGATTACTCGTCAAATGATACTGCGAAACATTATCATCTTGAAGTGCTTTTTTTGTGTAGAAACAGTCCGTATTCTCGAAAGATAATATCTACTCTACAAGTTTGTTAAAATATCTAAACAGAGAGATGAGGCAAATCTCGGAATAGATAATCATTATATGTGTATATAAATACAATACCAAATATAAGGAAATTACGTGACACAAGAACTTATTCTTCTTTCATAATTTCATTCTTCTACGGGACACTCTATTGACGGGACAACCAACGTTACTGTCCACCTGACGTAAGCAAGAAACCAACGCCATTGATGTTACTATAATAAATGCACTGGCTAGAAATTACAAAAAAGTTTAACATTTCTAGAACCTGGCGTCCGATCATTCAGCTATATTACTAACGCAGGGTATATAATAGATAAAATTAAACAAGAAACTTTAAATTATAACAGAACTAATTGGAACAGTTTTCAAGAATGGATCGATAACACACATCAATCTTAATACAGAAGAGGGCGTAGACGAAGCTGTCGAGTATCTAATATCTTTATCTCTCTCTCTCTCTCTCTCTCTCTCTGTCTCTCTCTGTCTCTCTCTGTCTCTCCCTCTCTCCCTCCCTCTCCATCTCCCTCTCCCTCTCTCTCTCCCTGTCTCTCTGTCTCTGTCTCTCTCTCTCTCTCTCTCTCTCCATACCGGGGAGACCGGAGTTGCCACTGAGCTGTTGCAGCCGGTACAGACGTTTCGCTTTCCAATGCGCGCAGCCGATTGGCGCGCGGTCGCGGGCGGAAGGGCAGTGGCCGCTGGAATGCCCGCAGACCCAGAGCCGGCCACCGTCCCGTCGCCTCCCCTCCCCCACCCCCCTCGTTGCCCTGTGGGGGATCGACTGCGGTGATCGACCGCACTCCGCCTCTGTCATTGGAAGCCTTCGCCGGTTTCCCCGTTTGGTGGTTTTGCGGATCACCCCCGACTAACGGGCCTCTAACGGCGTAGGGGCCTGCGGAGCAGGGCCCGGCAACTCTCCATCAAATTTGGGGACAAAGCTAGATGCTGCTACTATAGGATGCGCTAGTGTCGCCGGATACAGCTTCTGGTAAGGCTCGCCAACTTTCGCACATACAAATTGGTCAAGAAATACGAATACACTTTGATTATGAGCGATTTCCGAAATACATAACAAAAGAAGTTAAATACTATGTGTTTATCTTCTAAAATTCATTTATTCAAAATAATACACGCATGAAAGAAAAGGTAGAGCGAACAGCGGCGCGATCTTTTGTATCAAGCGCTTGTGTTTGCGTCCAGAGATCCCACGCACGTTTTAAATAACGCAGTTCGTGTTTTAGTTCGTGTAAGAAGGTGATGCTCTAGAGCGAGCCACTGAAATGGTCCCCACCAAGTTATATGGGAGTTATAGGGACCTGCTGCGGAGGTCTAGAATGTTGGATCTGCAGGAAAACTAATCACTTCGTTAATGGTTGAATGTTATATCCTATTACTTTTTTGCTGTGGAGTAGAGAGATAGTTGTGTAATGCGCGAAAAAAACCGCGAATCTTCGGCAGAAAAACTCTTATTACAGGGTAATGATAATAAAAAAGTGGATAAATTCAGTTGGTAGATTTAGAAAAAAGTCCCCTACCACGTGGTGTACAGGTTACCCTCCATGTTTTGGGGGTACCGAAAAATTGAATGATAGCCAAACGTCTGTCTGTCTGTCTGCCCGTCTGTGAACAACGACAGCGGCTGGATCGTTAAGCGGAGTTTCTCCAAAATTAAGAATCCTCATTCGATCTTGCTGATGTTACGGACCCTTGAATTTGAAACCGATATTTTAATTTTGAGGGGTACCTTGGGATGCCCCTGGGACCCTTTCAAAATTTTCCAAATCATGTCTTCAACGTTTTCGGTTAAATTTTGTTTTGGGGTAGTGTAAAAGACGTTTAAGAGAAGGGTGAACGTTTCATTTTCTTTCAACAGTTAAAAACTCTGATTTTTCGAAAACTTTGTTAGTTCAAAATTTTTTAAGCCTTCCTGCTACTAAAATATTAAAAATAGAGATTTTTTCCTTACAAAATCTGTATCCTGAAGATATACTTATGAAATCATGTCAAGTACAATCGTTCGAAATTAATTTTGAAATTAATTACGTAAATTTGAATACGAATCGAAAAGTTTACTTTTTACTTTC